AAATTAAATAAAAAATAGAGACAAATAAACATTTAAAATATGAATGAAAATTATAAATTCACTAGTACATGTATTTACATCATTTATTCAAGCTTAACTCATATAATTGAAATATTCAACATATCACATCTGTTTTAAGTGGAATGGAATCTGCATAGGAAGAAACGTTACGTCTATTCACTAAATATGAAGTTAGTGTAAAACATGTCTTTTTAGCTAGCATGTTGTTTTAGCTAATTCAGCTAATCTGTAATTTCGCTAAATTAAGATGTCGCTAATTAGAATAGAGTATATTCTCACAATGAGATTATTAGCACTTTAGCTAAATTAAGATTCGGTTAATTCATGCATTGAGTCAAATTCGCTAAAATGGCATGTAGCTATTAAAACATGTTTTACAGTTATTGTTCCAATGTTCACTCCACAATAGAATTACGTGCCATTTTTTCACAAAGTTTGGTCATTTTTCAAGCTTTGGGTTATTCATGTCCTTGTTTCGTTGTGACAAGGGTTCAGACACGATTCGCAATGAAAGATATAAAAATGTCACAGAAGGAATGACTGAAATGAAGACTTACTTGTAGAAAAGGTGGCAGCGGTGGGATTACTTCTTTGCGGTCTGCTACCAATCCCGCTGACAGTGTACACATTAATTGTATACGCTGTGTTAGGATTCAATCCAGTCAACGTCAGTTCAAACGGTAGATAATCGGCGTGGTAGTACGGTGATGGTATTTGACCGTCTACTGGGGAATATTCAATCTCAAAGCCATCAAATAAATCCCCATCTCCAGGAGAAAAGTTCCATGTGAAGTGGATAGTGCTAAATGTGGTATCACCAGCAGTCAGACCAGTTGGTGCAGTTGGTTCTGCAAGATACAATGATAGTATTTAAAAGGGAACTTGTATACCCCTGGGACTGCACTGCACTGCAGCACTCTGTACATGTGTAATGAACTTTCAATTTTTAATAGTTTTCTAAAAGATTGCCCATTTGATAATCACAACTTTTTCCTTCAAAATTCTGCACATTTTTGGGCATTTTTCTATAATCTCATATTTAATTTTGGACAAAATTTACGTAATTGCATATTGACTACAGATATTGGTCAAACTATTTGCAAAAAAATTGGAAAAACCTTATTTTATAAAAGATGCTGTTCAGAAGATTAAACCTACAAAGATGGATGAGTATTGGAGAGATACATGTAAGAACAAAAAATAATGATTTAGAGATGCATGCGTCTCCCCATTGATTCTGAATTCCATACAACACAAGGGTACAACTTACTTATTCTTTGTACTGCTGTACCAATTTCATCCTCAGTTGAGTCATTCTGTACTGCGTACACAGTAATGGTGTACTCTTGTCCTGGAGTCAAATCGATAATCTCCAGTGCTGTCTCAGTTGCGGCTACCATTATCGGTGATGATGGATTTCCCTCCGGGGGAGTCACACTAAGTTTATATGTTGATGGTAATGGATCAGGCGCTTCCCATTCAACGATCAACGAAGTGGTTGTGTATGTCTCATTAATATTCACTTTAGATCGGTCTGTTGAATTGAATATGCGTAAATCAATGATCATTACAAACAGGGTTGAGAAGCAGGACCTGGCTGATTAATAAGTATAATTTGCTGATATTCAACTAGTCAGTATCTATTTAAGGTTTCTCCAACAATCGTCTCAAATAAAGCTACAATGTTCAATACAGCAGGTAATATGTATATTAGAAATTGAAAACTGAGTAGTATGGGGTAGAAGACAAGAAAAGATGAAGCTCTATGCAAGGAGGTAAACGAGTTCAAATGATTCAACCAATGACAGGAGTAGGAATTTGTTTCTATACAAAAAAGAAACTGAAACAGTTTTTCTTTTCCTTTGGCTATTTTTCTTAGAGTGGTTTCCATAGAAACTGAGCTGAGCATTCTATTTAACTGCTAAACAGGTACAAATTCCCAATATTTGATAGTTGTAATGAAATAAGACCCAGTCCATTTTCAACCCCAGTCTTGGCTTCTCAAAATTTGTGTCTTATTTTAACCTATGATAATATAAACTAATATGCTTCGTTTTTCCTGTTTTTACGTTTGATTTTATGTAGAACGAAGTGAATGGGAAAATATTTATTAAAATATTAGTGATCACCCAACTTACCAGTTGTCACAGTAACAGATACCACATCACTGACAACTTTCAATGTCCCTGCACCAACCACAGCAACAACTTCCACCAAATACTCAGTTTCTGGTAACAATTCCGTTAACTGTAATGATGTAGTTTCTGTATTAATAGCAAACTGGTCTAGGATTGCTGAGCCGTCGTCAGTCTTAGTTACGGTTACTTCATAGCCTTCAAAGGCTCCATCTGGCTCACTCCATACAATGGTTACACTGTTTGAGGTCGGAGTACCGGCCGTCACCGCACCAGGTACATTGGGTTCTGTGTATTGAAAGAAGAATGCATCAAAGAGTTTGAAAATATGCGACAAATGGCTTGTTGGGTTCATTGTATTCAGCATTATTTTATTCACAAATATTTGTCACGATTACGATATTTTACTAACTATAGAGCTGACGTAATTGTAGAACGAGGTACAGTTCGTAAAACAGATGAACATGTGCAAAACATTTTCTCGAACTTTGTTACATCACTGTGGGTGTTTGGTGACTTCTTGTGAATCACATGAAGTTAATGCCTTGCCAAAGTCAATGTAAAGCTATTAACAGTGCTACAACAACAGTTATAAATACAGATGGTGCTACAGTATTTTTTATTTACTAATTTGTTTTTTTCATTTACTAATTTGTTTTTTTTGTTTACTAATTTGTTTTGTTTATTTACTAATTTGTTTTGTTTATTTACTCAAATCCAACTACATTACACAATTACATTAAGTAATGCTAAGTGAGGTATTTGAAACAAACAATACCAGTACAACAGTCTCTCAAAAATAAATGATATGAACAATATAGCCATTACTGTGTATTATATAGCCCATTTGTTTGAATATAAGCATATACTGTATAAACCAAAAACCATCTAAGTAGTATGAATCATTAAAATATTATTTATTTTAATCATAAAAATAACTTCTAAATTTCTTAAGTGCATGGTCTATTACAGTAATAGAGAAAATACAGTAAAAATAAAATTTGAATATAATCAGTCAAAGTATTTAAGAGATATGGCTCTAGAAGCCCAATCATTAAAACAAAATGGCCGCCAGTCAGCTATTTTGAATCCAATCTGAAAATAAAATGACGTGCATCAGGAACCTGTAATGTCTAACGTGTGTTATAAGTTTGAATACAATCCATCCATAAATGCAGGAAATGCTTGATATTCGAGGATTTTTTTAGCACAAAAATAGCACACTTTGAAAAAAATCATCAAACTAATATATCCGTATATCTGTGACATGATGTATAATGAATATTAAAAATTTGAACATAATCAGACAAAACAAGTCAGACATATGGGTCTGGAAACCCATTCATTAAAACAAAATGACCGCCAGACAGGAACCCGTAATGTCTAATGTATGTACCAAGTTTGAACAAAATCCATCCATAAATGCCAAAAATGCTTGATATTTGATGATTTTTTAGTACAAAAATGACAACCATTCGGCCATTTTGAATAGGATCGTCAAACTAATATATCTATGACATGATGTATAATGAATATTTAAAATTTGAACATAATCAGTCAAAACAATATATTAGAGATATGGCACGAGAACCACATTGATTAATACAAAATGGCCGCCAGTCGGCCATTTTGAATGTTATCTGAAAAACAAAATTATTTGCATCAAGGTTCCATAATGTCTAATGTATATACCAAGTTTGAACGAAATCCATCTGTAAACAGCCGAGAAATGCTCGATTTTGATGATTTTTAGCACAAAAATGGCCGCCATTCGGCCATCTTGAATCAGATCGTAAAACAAAATGATGTGCATCAAGGTCATATAATGTCCAACGTATATACAAGGTTTGAACAAAATCCATCTGTAAACAACCGGGAAATGCTAGATTTTGATGATTTTTAGCACAAAAATGGCCGCCATTCGGCCATCTTGAATCAGATCATGAAACAAATTGACGTGCATATGTATGATATCATGTATGATGTATGTGTGAAGTTTGATTGTGATTGGTTCAGGCATTTCTAAGATACAGGTCCGGACGCACGCACAGACGCACGCACGCACGGACACACACACACACGCACGCACGCACACACGGAGGTCAAAACATAAGTCCCCGTTTTTGGACTGCGTCCAAACGGGGACTAATAAATCTACTGTAAATGTTGTTGCTTTAAATGTTTTCAATTTGTTGATCCAAATATTTGCAAGAATCAAAATTTCACGAAAAAGTTGTGTCTGAGCTCAGCGAAATGTTCCCTTCAACAACATTCCACGATTCCCGCAAAATTAAACCATATTATACTAATCTGAGAATTCAATGACTATACCATAAATTCCCTAACTGATCACAGTTGTCAAATTTGTATTGTTGTACTGCTCACTAGTGCCTAAGCAGGCAAACAGCATAAAACAAATTAAATTACAAATTCACCTGTAGAGGGCAGTAACACTTACTTGTGTATTGATAGAGTGTAATTGTACTTCCGCCTACTGCTGACAGGAAAATAGAATAACGTATTCCAGAATCCAAACCAGTAAATGTGTAGGACTTTGTAGTAGAGCTCAAATCACCAGATTCCAGCAAAATAGAGTTTGTACCAATTACTCTTATCTGGTAACCGGTTGCATCTATGTCTGGACTCCATTTTATCCAAAGAGTTGTTTCAGTGACTTCTATGATGTACCCGGTGAAACTACTACTAGCTACTGTGAACAAAAATATATAAGATTATTTAGACATGGTACATAATGAACATAATTGAAAATTATCATATAAAAAGTTATTGAGACATAGTATGTGGAACATTGTTGCGACATGGCATGTGGAACATTGTTGCGACATGGCATGTGGAACACTATTGAGACATGGCGTGTGGAACACTATTGAGACATGGCGTGTGGAACACTATTGAGACATGGTGTGTGGAACACTATTGAGACATGGTATGTGGAACATTGTTGAGACATGGCATGTGGAACATTGTTGAGACATGGCATGTGGAACATTGTTGAGACATGGCATGTGGAACATTGTTGAGACATGGCATGTGGAACATTGTTGAGACATGGCATGTGGAACATTGTTGAGACATGGCATGTGGAACATTGTCGAGACATGGCATGTGGAACATTGTCGAGACATGGCATGTGGAACATTGTCGAGGCATGGCATGTGGAACATTGTCGAGGCATGGCATGTGGGACATTGATGAGGCATGGTATGTGGGACATTTTTGAGACATGGTATGTGGGACATTGTTGCGACATGGTATGTGGGGTATTGTTGCAGCATGGTAAGTGGAACATTGTTGAGACATGAAATGTTGAACATTGTTGAGGCATGGTATGTGGGACATTGTTGCGACATGGTATGTGGGACATTGTTGCGGCATGGTAAGTGGAACATTGTTGAGACATGAAATGTTGAACATTGTTGAGGCATGGTATGTGGAACATTGTTGAGACATGCTATGTGGAACATTGTTGAGACATGGTACGTGGAACATTGTTGAGACATGGTACGTGGAACATTGTTGAGACATGGTACGTGGAACATTGTTGAGACATGGTATGTTGAGCATTGTTGGGACATGGTATTTGGAACATTGTTGAGACATCGTATGTGGGACATTGTTGAGACATGGTATGTGGGACATTGTTGAGACATGGTATGTGGGACATTGTTGAGACATGGTATGTGGAACATTGTTGTGACATGGTATGTGGGGCATTGTTGCGACATGGTATGTGGGGCATTGTTGCGACATGGTATGTGGGGCATTGTTGCGACATGGTATGTGGGACATTGTTGAGGCATGGTATGTGGGACATTGTTGAGGCATGGTATGTGGGACATTGTTGCAACATTGTTGCAACATGGTATGTGGGGCATTGTTGCGGCATGGTAAGTGGAACATTGTTGAGACATGAAATGTTGAACATTGTTGAGACATGGTATGTGGGGCATTGTTGCGGCATGGTAAGTGGAACATTGTTGAGACATGAAATGTTGAACATTGTTGAGGCATGGTATGTGGGACATTGTTGAGACATGGTATGTGGGACATTGTTGAGACATGGTATGTGGGACATTGTTGAGGCATGGTATGTGGGACATTGTTGAGGCATGGTATGTGGGACATTGTTGAGACATGGCATGTGGAACAGTATTTAGACATGGTATGTGGAACATTGTTGCGACATGGTATGCGGAACATTGTTGAGGCATGGTACCTGGAACATTGTTGAGACATGGTATGTGGAACATTGTTGAGACATGGTACTGGGAACATTGTTGAGATATTGTATGTGGAACATTATTGCGACATGGTATGCGGAACATTGTTGCGACATGGTATGCGGAACATTGTTGCGACATGGTATGTGGAACATTGTTGCGACATGGTATGTGGAACATTGTTGCGACATGGTATGCTGAACATTGTTGAGACATGGTATGCGGAACATTGTTGAGACATGGTATGCGGAACATTGTTGCGACATGGTATGTGGGAAATTGTTAAGACATGGTATGTGGGAAATTGTTAAGACATGGTATGTGGGACATTGTTGAGACATGGTATGCGGAACATTGTTGAGGCATGGTACCTGGAACATTGTTGAGACATGGTATGTGGAACATTGTTGAGACATGGTACTGGGAACATTGTTGAGATATTGTATGTGGAACATTGTTGCGACATGGTATGTGGGAAATTGTTAAGACATGGTATGTGGGAAATTGTTGAGACATGGTATGTGGGAAATTGTTAAGACATGGTATGTGGAACATTATTGAGATATGGTATGTGGAACATTGTTGAGACATGATATGTGGAACACTAGCATCACATGACGTGTATAATGTTGCACATAAATGTATCCTTACTTGTTGTGAACACTTCCTGTTTGACAGAACTTTGTAAAGTCCCGCTAATGGTCTGCACTGTCACAGTATAAATTGTTGCGGGTGTTAATCCTTCTAACACAACTTCAGAGATGTCAGACGGTACTTCCATTGGTGACTGAGTTAGCCCGTTGACAGGAGAGTATGTGAGCAAGTATTTATCAAAAACATTGCTGGACAAAGCCGGTCCAGTCCAAATGACTTTGGAGGTGGTCTCTGATATACTGTCTATTGTGATCGATGATGGCGGCTGTGGTTCTGTAAAATAATAGTAGACAGGTTTGTTTCAGTTGTTTAAATATAAATAGACATTAGTAAAAACAAAACACCTTTTCATGAAATAACCCCCTGTGTGATTCGCATTGAATTCCACATACTACAGTACATTACAGAATTGGAATAAATAAATAAAAATATATAAATAAATATAAATATATATATAAAAATATATATAAATAAAAATAAATAAAAATAAAAAAATAAAAAAATAAAAAAATATAAAAAAATTAAAAAAATAAAAATAAATATAAATAAATAAAAAAAATAAAATTAAATAAAAATAAATAAATAAATACTAGAGTTCAGACACAAATAACCTTAACATTACAACAAGTATACTTTTGGGATTTACAAAAGTTTACAGTAAAAAATCAAAGAAGCTTACTTGTTCGTTGCTCTATAGAGCCTCTCTCCAATTCGGTTCCATCACTGGCAACAGTATACAGTGTAATAAGATATGCCTCGCCTGGATTGAGGTTATTTATTAATTGAATCGGTGTCGTTTTGGACACTGTAAATGGGGAATCGGGATCTCCACCTGGCGGAGAATAACTTAATTTATATTCATCAAAATCACCCACAATAGGTGACCATTGCAGCAGTAAGTACGTCTCCCCAATCGGCTGCGATACTGTTAATACAGTGGGTACTGTAAAAGAAAAAACGTCAAGACATTACTCTAATCATCATTATGTTGATTAGTACAGATTTTAAATGGTGAACAATATTATTGTTTATTACTGGTATGTCATATGTAGCATTTATCCCTATCATCAATCTTGCTGCATAGCTGTTGTATCTAATGACAGAGCTGTTGATAAGCCGTGTGAATGTGTGGAAAGAAACTGAAAGTACAACATTATTGTGCCTAAAAAATAATATTTATATCCTACATTTATCTGGGGAGGGGGTGTCAATTTCAACATAATATATCATCAAGTATGTTTAAGTTATTGCCAACTGTTACTAAATCAAAATTTAAACTTACAAATATTTCAAAACAATTAACAAAACACTAATCTGTTTAACATTTTGATATTGTGACAGATTTTTTTTTATTTATTGTACAAATTAGATCATCAAAAATACGTCTGTAATGTCAGTAATTACCAACAACAGGATTTTAATTTTTTTTGCAGATAAGCAAACCTAAGTACATGCACCTAGATTGATTATAAAAGATCCTGAAATAGATATTTAAAACCAAGAAAATATACATCTTTAGTTTGCTTTCACTTTAGAAGGTAGCACATCCCCATCCCTTTTATTAACAAGCCAAGACATTACGTGATTTTATTCTGTAAAAACAACTTTGAAGCCACCATCTTTTAGCCAATGGGTCTTTGTAAACAGATGTCAAGGCCAAACATTTGTTTCAGTTCAGGCCCACAAAAAGTACACTCAGTGTTTTGTATACCTTTATGAATAACGCCAATTACCATTCAGCAAATGTGGTACAGATACAATGTTAGATAGAAGAGTGTACACGCTTGTTTAAAACAGATTCAATTCCATTTAAAAGTTGCCAGCTTCTCGCCAAATCTTAAACAGCATGTTGATGAGACGTAATTTATAGTGCATTGTTTGAGTTCAGTCTTCTTTCAAATGATGCCAGGGATATATGGGGGGCGGGGGGCGAGAGAATGATAAGAGATACATGCTATATGTCTAATTCTATTGTACAAAAACTAATATGCAATGACTACCTGATACTGAATACATACACAACTACAATATTGAATATACTAATATATACAAGTATCAAATTATATAATAAAATCAGAACTTCAAAAATTACATACAACTAATGTTATATCTAAGTAATACTAAGATCCCATAAAGAAAAGATAACTACACCCCTAAAAGTTTATTCTACTTGGTATCATTCTAGTGTTATTTTCATACATGGGTTATACCACTCACTAGTTACAGGGAGGAAAGATTAATCAAGGAGGGATGTTACATTATAAACACCACATTATTTACAGGCATACGACTACCAATATTAATACACTATGTAAAACAGTGCTACTTATTTCTATAAAGAAATTGCAAAATGATGGGACAAGCAAGTTCGTGCATGAAGAAGAAACTTAGTTTACACCGAGATTGCAAGTGTGCAGTTTTCCCTGTTATCAATAATAGATGTAGGTATACAAAATGTGAATTGAAAAATAACCAAATAATTATGCATTTTGACACTTTTCAATAGTTTTCACCAAATGCCAACATTTTGGTAGAATATTTTGCACATTTTTATTTATTTTTGAACAAAGCTGGAATCTTTTTTCCTCATTGACTCCATGTCTTGAAAGAAATTTGTGGGGGATTATTTTTTGAAAGAAGAAGAAGATGAAAAGTGGTATCTAAATAAAATGAAAATACATGCTGATCAAAGTCGCCAGGTATTTTGAAAACAAATTTTGGGAGTGAGACAGATCCCAACAATGGCTCCAATTAGTATTCTACATCATATCAATGTACATTAAAAAAAACTGCACAAGAGTTTACCAGTAAAAAAAGTATATCAAATTGGTGAGTTATGTTTAGTATGTTCTTTTTAGTACTGGAATCAAATTCCCTTATCACTTACAGGTGTTGATCTGAATTGTCTGGGGGTCACTGACTACTTTGCTATCGCCGGAACCAGCAGCTGTGACAACACTAATAGTATATGTAGTTTCTGGTGCGAGACCAGAGAATGAAGCTGTAGTGCCCTCTGTAGTTGGGTTTACAGTTTTACTATAACTTATTGAACCGTCCTGTGATACTATTGATACGTCGTAGTACTCAACGTCGCCATCTGCGGCAACCCACGAAAACACTACAATGTTGGGTGTAATGTTGTCTTGGTCATACGTGATCTCACCGGGCATGCCGAGTTCTGATGAAGAGCAGGAAAAGTGAAAATAAAATAAAATAAAATAAAATAAAAAGCAAGATATCAGCAAAAGGTCAAGATGGCAAATAAAGAAATAAACAGATTTGTTTTTAATTAAGCATTCCATCATACAATGCAACATCAGTAGCCCTCTGTAGATGTAACCATGGAAACCCAATATATAGCAACACTTAATGAACTGAAATTAAAATGATGGATGAACATTTCTTTTCTGGTGAAAATAAATTTATATGTAATTTGCATATAATCAGAATAACGAGAAAATCCACAGTTTGGCAATGGACAATTCTTCAGAATTGCTTTAGGGAATCTTTAAAAATGTAATAGGAACAGTCGCATGTAAATTTTTAGTATTGTTGTTTGATACTGTATGATAATGGATACATTGGATATGACATGTCATGACCTGAAAATGCTGTTTTTCAATGAAAAAACTCAATTGTGTATTACACATACACAACCTTGTATACGCTGCTTATTTTGGTACATTAATAATCAGCCCACATTTGTATAAGTGTTATTCTGTTCTACTGCTGTGTTTACCAGAAATATTTATAGTTGACACTAAATCATATTCCAATTTGGTCACTAAAATTAAGAAAAATTAAATTAATCTATTTTGCTTTTTCAAGCTATAATGTTCAAATGCTCAGATCATTAGATTTCATTAACTATATCTACATGCATGTGATTTTAATTAACACTGGTGTTCACAAAGCTAGATAACAAAAAATTACTATCATAAAACTTTTAGCACAAAAGTTTCAAAACAGCATTATTTCAGCCACTGACCATTGGTTTCAAAACAGCATTATTTCAGCCACTGACCATGGTTTCGAAATTTTGTCGGGGTAACATACATTGAACATATTACATACTAGTATAAAGACTATTTTTTATGAAATAAATTTATAACCTTTTCACCACCAGACATTCTCGCCCAAATTTGTCTGCACTTTTTTCTTGTATTCTTCAATATTTCTGAAATTGCACCCTAATTTTGGAGCCAACAGATAAAATTTGAGTAAAATTTCAGTTTCTACTCAAAAAATTTGGCTATTTTTGTTCTAATTTTCTGAAAAAGTTTGGACTATAAACGGGAATATTTTGTCAATTTGTGATAAAAAGAGGAAACTGGTGATGAAAAGGTTACAAGGAAAAGTTCCAAAATTTTTTTTTTTGTGATGGTTTTTTCTGTAAAATAATTTCAAACTATAAAAATCAGCATTTACACCATCACTTACTTGTTCTAACAGTCTTGGTCTGATCCTCCGGGTTGTCAGGAGCTTGAGTAGAAACAATTACCGTGTATTCACGTCCTGGTATCAATCCTGTGAATGTGTGCTGTCGAATGTCAGTGCTAGTGTAAACCTCAGAAGATGCATCTGGTGGTGATATTGAGACAAGGTAGTTTGTTGCCTGCGGGTATTCATTGAATGATATTCGTATGCTGGTGTCATTCACAGATTTGATGTTAATTCCTCCAGGTGTTCCAGGCACTGTCAAATAATGATGAATTCATTAATTTGCATTTTTATATGGGAATAGAAAAGAATTTAATAACGTTTCAAAATATATATTTATTACGCATATAGCATTGTTTCTTCTGAAAAGAATATTTCTTTTATTGATGAATGAATAAAGATTAGACTCTGATACTGAAGAGGCAGATGTGCAGCCACCATCCAATCAAGTCTGGTCAAACAAGCACCTGCGCAACTTTATAGGTTCCGACAAAGCCACATCTATTACCGGTAGTCAATAAATCTCTGTCGGTGGCCTCCATCTTCTTTTGACACCCTCACACTTGACCCCATTTTGGTCAATACATTTTGGACACATTTGAACTCTGGTCTACCAATAACTAGACTGATGCAACAACCACAACACTGCCATAAACACTTCTTACCATTCCACTGCATACATGCAATCTCTTAAAGAAAGATAATTTAACGAAAGTGAAAATACTCACATGTAGTCTGAGTGAATCCATAACCCTCACTCTCTTGATTCCCAGCAACAGTTACTATAGTGATGGTGTAGTCAGTACCAGGGTCAAGACCTTCAAACTTAAATGTATTACTACCATCAACAACGTCACTGAATTCTGGTGTAAAGCCATTATCTGGTGCATAGGAAACTCTGTAATATTCATTACCACCAACTGGATCAGACCAGGATATCGTCATAGTGTTCTCACCCACTGCCACAATTGAGTGTGATGTAACTGGATTTGGCTCTGTAGGTCAAGGTACAGTAATAGGGCAAGTTAAAATAAAACAAGATTTATATTTAGTTGCATCTGCTATACATAATAGAGATTAACCTATCATATTTTCTATTGGCCCCTAAACCAGCATATAGTATTATTATTTGATATTACAGACAGTACAGGAATTACAAAGAAGCTGTTTTTTTTATTTTCACTGATAACTAAATGAGCTAAATTAAAATCCAGCAGCATTTCAATTGCCTGAATACGCATTCTGATTGGCTGATAGTGTGATTTCTATTATGCAAACCTTAGTGAAATACATCATATACCATGGTTGTGTTATGTTTAGATACATGATTTTTGAATGCTTTGTGGTTGTCTCTACATAGTGCCGTGTAGGCGATTACGTTCCATTTAGATATAGATCATTCAACAATTCAAAATTATTTTATTACCCCACTGTACAATTAAATAAGACCAATGAGGGCGCCATTCCACTTTCTGCTTTCAATGCATAAAATGACCATTGAGGGCGCCATTCTACTCTCTGCTTTCATTGGCTGGTTCCCGCCTCAAGTGTCATGGCGCACCAAGCCACAAGAGGCTGGGGTAACTAGTAACAAATTCAGCATTCTGATTGGTTCATCACTTTCTCTTTGCTTGTTCCATTTCCCTTGATTACCTGACGTCAGCGCTCACGCTTGTGGCCCGAGAGCAGGGGTTTCCTTTTACTTTCGAAAGTTCGGCAAATAAAAAACTGTTTCTTTTGTTATAAATTTGCACAGAAACAGCGAAGATATGTCAGAAACATCTCAAATATGTAAATCTAAGGAGGCAGTATGTATGAGCATGGCTTATTGTAGTATTACTGACACGTTTACGCAGAACAGAACTAATTACGTCACTCAGTCACGTGCCTTCCAGCCGGGAAACTGGCCCAAATGAAACAATATGGCGATTACTAGTTACCTGCATCATACTGGCCATTCGCAAAGGATGCTGGGAACCAACGAATCAGCTTTCACTGCATGAAAGGACCAATGAGGGCGCCATTCCACTCTCAGCTTTCAATGCATGAAATGACCAACGAGGGTGCGATTCCACTCTCTGCTTTCCATGCATGAAAAGACCAATGAGGGCGCCATTC